ATTTCCTGTTGTGAGCTAAATTCGCTACAGTGTGTATATATATATCTATGTTTGTATGTAGGCCAGTGCTTAAAAATTGAGACTGACCTTGCAGATTCTCATTCTCACTCAATAAAAGTAATGTTACAAATAATCTTTAATTCAAGTTTAAATTCCATTAAGTAAAATGGTGTGCACTCCCTCTGTTTTAATAATGATAATTAGAGGTAATTTGTTTATGCAAGGGATTTCTAGAAATTGCTGGAATCAAGAGAATAAGATTATGACAGCCACAAATGGATATGATGTGATGTTATTTAACACCGTTAATTTAAATGCAGTTATTTCCATTTAAAAGACTATGTAAGGGAAACAGGTCAATAATTTAGCTCAAAGGGAATCATTTAAGATTTTAAAGGGAACTCCACCATTAATATGTAAGGGAATTAGGACAGAATCACTGTTTACGGCTGATCACTGAGACGGCCAGCGAGTCACTTCAGCAAGATCTTGGGGCCTTAAGATTGCATCAGGAATCTTTTTGAGACAGACTCGCAAGTATCAAACTTAGTCGATTTAATTGATGCATTAAGTATCAGTTACACCTTTTTACAAGGTGTGTTTGAGCTAAGAATCTGACGTTTTCCCTCAGGTTTTAGATCTGCTGAATATGCAAAGTTTTCCATAAAATTCATTCTTTATGCCTCTTTCTGTGCTGAGTTAAACTTTAACCCTTTCCTATACCAACTGTATGTGTGTGTGTGTGTGTATGTGTATGTTAGACCAGTTTATGTGTTTATGTAGTATGTTGGACTAGTTTAAGTGTTTATGTAGTTAATAAAACTTTACTTGTATCACGCTTGACGTGTTCATTGTTTGCTCATAACCGGAGTCACTAATCATGCAGATTTACGCTACAAACTTTTGTAGAATTGTACAGTAAGAAAGTTATTTCCCTTAACCAGGAAATTAACGTTCTTAGAATTGACAAGACAGTTGACCCTGAGTGGTCAGCTAAATATCTACAGCGGATCTAAAATATGAATAGTTAATTATAACTAGTTATGGTTAATTATTCATATTTCCTGTTGTGAGCTAAATTCGCTACAGTGTGTATATATATCTATATATATATTTATATAAATATATATATAGATATATAAATAAGTTGAGGGTTTAAGGTTCTGTAGTGCTCAGGGTTTGTATGTAGGCCAGTGCTTAAAAATTGAGACTGACCTTGCAGATTCTCATTCTCACTCAATAAAAGTAATGTTACAAATAATCTTTAATTCAAGTTTAAATTCCATTAAGTAAAATGGTGTGCACTCCCTCTGTTTTAATAATGATAATTAGAGGTCATTTGTTTATGCAAGGGATTTCTAGAAATTGCTGGAATCAAGAGAATAAGATTATGACAGCCACAAATGGATATGATGTGATGTTATTTAACACCGTTAATTTAAATGCAGTTATTTCCATTTAAAAGACTATTTCATACATAACAAATAATAAGAATCATTGCAAGTGATCAATAAAATCAGTGAATAAATAAATTAATATTGCATTGATAATATTTGAGGTAAACATACGAATAAATGTCAAAATTCAAAACATGGCTATGATATCTTGAGAATAGAAAGTATGTACCATCTATATTGTGAGATCACAGAGTGTCGCTTTTGAAAAGAAAAACATTAGTCCTTTCAAATATTTGTTAGCCCAAAACCCAGCATAGAGAGGCTGAGTGAATGTGGTGTGGACTCTGTGAATGAGGGTCATTGTGTCAGAGACGCTGTAGAAGGACAGAGTTCCTGCACTGTGATCCACATACACTCCTATTCTAGAGGAGCTGGAGACTACAGGGAGTGCAGTCCTTCCGTTATTGTGCCAGAATGAGCAGCTGGAGTCAGAGCAGTACAAACACCAGGACTGATCATTACAACCAAACTCACTCTCCTTTCCCCATCCCTTCCTGCTGATGCTCTTATATGATACTGATATACCCACCCAACCACTCCACTCAACCTCCCAGTAACAGCGTCCACACACACTCTCTCTACACAACACCTGAGGAAAACCATCAAATCTGTCTGGATGATCTGGATACAGCTGTTCTTCACGATTGTATTCAATCACTCTGTTCTCTGCAGACCATACCAGGTTTTTATTCACTGTATTTGGATCCAAAGTGAGCTGACGGCAATCTGATGAAGATAAAACACATTATCTGCATATATCAAGTAATACATGGCTTTCAAACATAAAAAATAAAACACCAGAGGTTTATTACATTTAGGTTCACAAAATCTGCCTCACTGTTATCAACATTATAACATGTTGGTGTGTCTGTGAGTGTTTGGAGTTGACCAGCAGAAATTATAGTTAGTCAAATATTTTTGGATTGAAAAGTCAATTCACATTTCTATTTATTTTCCTTTTCTTTTTAGCAGCTCGATCACAAGCTGCCAAAGGTTAGTTTTAATTAACATGTCTCTGCCAAAACAGAACCTAGCAGTGAGTGATTAACAGAAGTGACCAGATCAGGACATTCAACTAACCCAGTAATTAAACTGGTTATTGTGATTATTCCTGATTTGGGTTAAAAATTTGACTAAATTAACAGTATAAATGTATCTCGTGTTAATCAAGAGTGTTGTGTGGAGTTCAGCACAGTTCAGTCTGATTGACGAAATGTAATAAGAATTAAAGTCTGTCTCTTTATGTACATGTACTCTTATAGAGACTTACATTTGAGGAATTCCTCACGGGTCTCGGGTTCAGAGATGGGAATGATGTTGATGTTTCTCACTATGGAAACCAACAGACACTTTATAGTAAATATAGTCAAATAAAAATGTATTGCAATTATAAAACATTTTTTATTTGCATATGCATTTTTTCTACATGATATATTATGTCAGGAAAAGTAAAGCTTACCTCTACCAGATAACATTTCTATCTCCTCTCTGCAGAAATGCTTCAGTTTCTCTCTCAGATGAGACACAGACTTTTCAACATCATCAAAAGTTGGAATAGAACTAACAGTGATGCTGGGTGAGTTTGTAGATCCAGGAGGAACAGAGAGAGACTGGAAACTCTACACAGACACAAAGACACGAGAAACACCAGCTAAAGACACAGAAACATTTGATAGAAACACACTGAGTCTGAAACAGCTCTTCAGCAGCCAGCAGCTGTTCTTCTGCTCAAAACTCACCTTGTGAGACTCTACAGCCTCTCTCAGCTCCTCAAGCTCCTTCTGTCTTTCCTGGATTCTCAGCTGGTTTGTTCTCTGTGTCTCCTCCAGTTGTCTCTGTAGAGTATATAGTCAACATACAATGCATTAGTCCTTGTAGATAATGTCGCAAAGAACAGTTTCAAAAAAAGAGAAAATAAGCGGAGAAAATAAATGTTCTGTCTCTAGTAAGAACTGTTTTAAAATTATCTTCAATTGTGTGCCTATTATGTTATTATGAAGATACATTTATTATTCAGCATAACTGAGTTCATACCTGTTTCTCCGTCCTCTCTGCTGCAGCTGATACAGTGTTGTGGTCTTTGTGTTCATCTACCATACACATATAACAAATACACTGCTGATCAGTACGACAGAAAATCTCCAGCAGTTTATCATGTTGAGGGCAGATCATCTCCTGCAGTTGTCCATTGGCATCAGTCAACTTGTGTCGCTTTCCAGAGTGAAATTCTTCATGACGTTTAAAATGATTTTTACAGTAAGATTCCAGACACACCAGACAGGATTTGATGGCTTTATATTTTCTCCCAGTACAGATGTCACACTCCACATTTCCAGATCCAGTGGAACACTGAGCAGGACGAGCAGCTTGGCGTTTTGTCTTCTTGAGTTTCTCCAGCACTTCAGCCAGTATGGTGTTTTTACCTAAAACAGGTCTTGGAGTGAAGGTCTGTCTGCACTGAGGGCAGCTGTAGACTCCCTTCTGATCATCCTGATTCCAGCAGCCTGTAATACAGCTCATACAGTAACTGTGTCCACAGGGAACTGTCACTGGATCCTTCAGTAGATCCAGACAGATTGAACAGCTGAACTCATTCTGAGCCAAAGAAACACTGGATTCTGCCATTTTACTGCAAGCACTCACAGGTGGAGAGACATTCACAACAGTTCGACAGCAGTCTAGTTTCGATTTCGCTGAACTGAAACATTTCCTGGTTCTGAAACGTGTGCAAAACATGCGTCATAAAATAAACACGACCACTAGATGGCAGTCTTATTCAGAAACTCACTACAAGAGGTAAAGATATTTATATAATTCTATAATATATATTAAAATAAAAATCTGTTGTTTATACCGATTGTAACGCTCATCCTCTTCTTTTCCCACCAGATTATCAAGTATTTGAAGCCTTTTATGTTCTTCTTTGTGAATGACAGACCCTTTAAATGTGTTACATTTATGCATTTGGTAGACAGCCACAAATGGAAGTGATGTGATGTTATTTAACACAGTTCATTTAAATGCAGTTATTTCCATTTAAAAGACCATTTCATACATAACAAATAACAAGCATCATTGCAAGTGATCAATAAAATCAGTGAATAAATCAATATTGTATTGATAATATTTTGAGTAAACATAAGAATAAATGTCAAAATTCAAAACATGGCTATGATATCTGGCAAATATCTCTCTGTAACAGGTATAGAAAGTATTGTGTGTGTGTGTGTGTGTGCACCTTCCCCTTTAAATTTCTGACTGCAATGTTGATCCTAATTTCCTGTCTTTGAACTGTCTGTATGGGAGAGGTGGGTTTCTAATGAGCTTTGATTAATCAAATTACAATTTTTTTTTATTATTACTTTTGTACTGAAATCTGTCGTCTAAATCATATACAAGACATTGTTTTTCATGTATATTTTATTATTTTTTATTATTATTATTTTTATCAAGTTTGGTCTGATGTGAACTGGAAGCACATGCTAATTACATTGCACTTTACATTCATCTTACAGAAACGAAAAAGGGCGAATTCACACCATATATACATACTCTTATGTCTTATCAGGTATGCTGCTTTATTACTAATGTTGTTAAATTCATTTCATTGTCCCCTTTCTGCACTGTCTCTGCATGGGAGAGAAACGAAACATCTCACTATATTATTTGTAGAAAGTTTGTACCATCTTGTGAGATCACAGAGGGTCACTTTTGAAAAGAAAAACATTAGTCTTTTCAAATATTTATTAGCCCAAAACCCAGGATAGAGAGGCTGAGTGAATGTGGTGTGGACTCTGTGAATGAGGTTCATTGTGTCAGAGACGCTGTAGAAGGACAGAGTTCCTGCACTGTGATCCACATACACTCCTATTCTAGAGGAGCTGGAGACTACAGGGAGTTCAGTCCCTTCGTTGTGTCTGTGAGTGTTTGGGGTTGCCCAGCAGAAATTATATTTAGTCAAATATTTTTGAATTGAAAAGTCAATTCACATTTCTATTTATTTTCCTTTTCTTTTTAGCAGCTCGATCACAAGCTGCCAAAGGTTCGTTTAAATTAACATGTCTCTGCCAAAACAGAACCTAGCAGTGAGTGATTAACAGTGTTGGGGAGCATAAAGCGATTATTTCCGAATTCGCCATTCGATAATTAAATCTCTAATAAATCTGGAATCGGTTAGTCGTGACTGGCAATGCTTCGGCTCGCGCCTCTGCCAAACGGTTTGGATCAGATCAGAGTAATCAATGCGAGAGAGAGCATGAGTGGACTGTGGAAGCGCACAGGTGAAGCAGAGAAGCAAAACTAGGCCTACTGTTCAGGGTTTCAAGTGCAGGTCAGTTTCATCTGTAAATATGCTATTGTAGTTTTGTCTTTGTTTACTTAGTTAAGCAGCAGCAGCCCATTGCTCATCAGTCATCACTCAAAATACTGAATAAAGGACATCATTATTATCTATTGTAATGTTACAGTAGTAATTTAGCAGACAAATAATCATATGTTATAATAGGTTTAGGGGAGCTAGGGCAGACAACAACACAACCCTTACGAAAATTAACGATGATTTTACTATAAATCCAAAGACAATGGTTACTATTGTCAAACCATGGTAACCACAAATGAACCATGGTTTTTGATACACCAACCATAGTTTAACCATGAAATTTGTAGTAAAAATAAATACAAATGGTAATCCATTTGCCAAAAAAAAAAAAACATGGTTACTGTACTTTTACTATAATAAAAGCATGGTTAATTTTTGTAAGGGAAAAACATGACTCGTGTTTAGTATTAGGATTTTTCCATAAAGATATTGTGGTGATGTACTAATTTTGACATGTATAGGCAATTTAGAAAGTATAGTTTTGTTAAATCGTGAGTATTAAAGTCATGAGAGAGATAGAAAAGAAAAATGGAAGTGAAGGTGCAGTTCAGGAGAGAACTTTTAATTACTTTGCATGTCCCCAACCTAAGGATTTAAACATTTTTATGTGAGGTCCATACAAAAAATAGGGTTGTCCATGTTTCAGAATTTGTTGTGGGTGTATGAGTGCGAGATTTCCCAGCCTGAAGTCACTTCATGAGCATTTGACTTATTTTGAGAAAACTATCGTCATATCATATACAAAGAGACACCAATGTTTCAGGAGTTTAGTTCCAGAATAGGACACATGCTTCTTAGATAACTGTATTTGAGTTGATGTATATGCTTTTATTTATTATAATTTTTTAATTAACTATTTTTTTTCCAAACCATTGTTAGATGCAGTGTTTCCTGTAGTTATGCAAAGATTTGGTTTCAAAAACAGTATCAGTAAACTATTTCTTATGATTTTAAATATGCATTGAACTTCAGATCAATCTTAAAATAAAAGGCGGTACTAAAGTCTGATTTTGTGGTGGATGTGTTCAAATTTGATCATCTTAATTCAAGTGATGAAGGATTTTGAAAGTCTAACAGTGTTGAGCACTACTGTAAGGTTAACCGTGCACGCATGGTTTAAATGTTTGAAAATGATTAACAGTTGCAAATAAACATTCATTAGAAATTTAGAAAAGTAATCAAAAAGTAATCACCAGTTACATTACTTTAATAAAGTAACTGAAAAAGTTACACTACTATTACATTTTAAATAAGGTAAGTTGTAATCTGTAACCTATTACATTTCCAAAGTAACCTTTCCAACACTGGTGATTAACAAAAGTGACCAGATCAGGACATTCAACTAACCCAGTAATTAAACTGGTTATGTGATTATTCCTGATTTGGGTCAAAAAATTTGACTAAATTAACAGTATAAATGTATCTCGTGTAAATCAAGAGTGTTGTGTGGAGTTCAGCACAGTTCAGTCTGATTGACGAAATGTAATAAGAATTAAAGTCTGTCTCTTTATGTACATGTACTCTTATAGTGACTTACATTTGAGGAATTCCTCACGGGTCTCGGATTCAGAGATGGGAATGATGTTGATGTTTCTCACTATGGAAACCAACAGACACTTTATAGTAAATATTGTCAAAAAATATATATTAATTGTAATTATAATTTTTTTTTTATTTACATATACATTCTTTGTACTTTATATGATATAATATATGTCAGGAAAAGTAAAGCTTAACTCTACCAGATAACATTTCTATCTCCTCTCTGCAGAAATGCTCCAGTTTCTCTCTCAGATGAGACACAGATTTTTCAACATCATCAAAAGTTGGAATAGAACTAACAGTGATGCTGGGTGAGTTTGTAGATCCAGGAGGAACAGAGAGAGACTGGAAACTCTACACAGACACAAAGACACGAGATACACCAGCTAAAGACACAAAAACATTTGATAGAAACACAATCTCTGTACAACATGCTCTTCCCTTCCTGAAGACCACTGTCCTGTTTGTCAGATCTCTGTTACCTGGAGGAAATGGATGTGATTGTCTGTGTGTGAAAGTTGCTCCAGCTCAGCGTCTCTCCTCCTCAGATTTTCAATCTCCTGCTCCAGTTGCTCCAGTTTTCCTTCAGCTCGACTCACTGCAGCCTTTTCCTGATCTCTGATCAGCTGTGACACCTCAGAGCGGCTTCTCTCAATGGAGCGGATCAGCTCAGTAAAGATCCTCTCACTGCCTCCACTGCTGCCTGTGCAGAGCACTGTTAGGACACCGAGAGAGAAGCATTAGAATCAGTCCATTCACTCAGCTCTTACTGCTACCTCACACAGCCTGTTCCCCACAGTGGGCTTCAGTGGGACTGAAAGAGCTCCAGCACCAGCTCCTCACTGACTGACTGGAGGAGTGTCCACACTGAGTCTGAAACAGCTCTTCAGCAGCCAGCAGCTGTTCTTCTGCTCAAAACTCACCTTGTGAGACTCTACAGCCTCTCTCAGCTCCTCAAGCTCCTTCTGTCTTTCCTGGATTCTCAGCTGGTTTGTTCTCTGTGTCTCCTCCAGTTGTCTCTGTAGAATATATAGTCAACATATAATTCATTAGTGTCCTTGTAGAGAATGTCACAAAGAACCGTTTCAAAAAAAGAGAAAATAAGCAGAGAAACTGCATTATCTTTCCCTAGTAAAAACTGTTTTAAATTATCTTCAATTTTGTGCCTATTATATGATTATCAAGAGACATTTATTATTCAGCATAACTGAGTTCATACCTGTTTCTCAGTCCACTCTGTTGCAGCTGATACAGTGTCATGGTCTTTGTGTTCATCCACCATACACATGTAATATAAACAGTGCTGATCAGTACGACAGAAAATCTCCAGCAGTTTATCATGTTGAGGGCAGATCATCTCCTGCAGTTGTCCATTGGCATCAGTCATTTTGTGTTGCTTTCCAGAGTGAAATACTTCATGACGTTCAAAATGGGTTTGGCAGTAAGATTCCAGACACACCAGACAGGACTTAACGGCTTTGTTTTTGTCCCCAGTACACACGTCACACTCCACATTTCCAGATCCACCGAAACATTGAGAAAGACGAGCAGCTTGGGAGTTTTGTCTTCTTGATTTTCTCCAGCAGTTCAGCCAGCATGGTGTTTTTACCTAAAACAGGTCTTGGAGTGAAGGTCTGTCTGCACTGAGGGCAGCTGTAGACTCCCTTTTGATTCCAGTAGCCTGTAATACAGCTCATACAGTAACTGTGTCCACAGGTAAGGGCCACTGCATCTTTCAGTAGATCCAGACAGATTGAACAGCTTAACTGATCCTGAGCCACTGAAATATTGGATTCTGCCATTTTACTAAACACAGACACATACAGCAACTCAACAACCTAGAACATAGGAATAGAAGTTTTAAAAAACAAAGAAAAGCATAACATAAGCCCGCTGAATTTTACTTCAAGACTGAGCAAGAAGATGGTAATAAACCACACTAAAGGTAGGAATGGTTAGACTAAAGTCACATGAAGAAATTTTTGAGTGACCTTTGCTCCCTCACATTATCATAAACACCGTTCAAAGTTCATTTATATAATTAATGGTACAGTTTCTCGTTCCTGGTGAAATTTGCAGTGCCCCTTAAACTTATCAAGTACTCTTCCTTCGGATTGGAATCTCTCTTGGATGGTGAAATACTCTGTGAAGTTCACTATTCTTGGCACTTACAATTGAATGGAATACACTTAAAGAGAATATACACATAATGGACTTCTTTTATTATTATGAATCATCATTAAAAGGTTAAACAGAGTCATCAAATTTTTTTAAACTAATTATTAAAATTGTAAATGCATGGAAAACAATCAACCATCCTTTTAATCCATCCATAAAAACTATTTAAGCTTTATTGAAACTACAGAAGTTAAGTTTGTCAGGACAAACTTTGATGTTACTTAATCTGACATTTTAAAATACAGTTTAAAGCAGCGTAACTCTGGCCCTCGAGGTCCACTTTCCTGCAGAGTTTAGCTTCAGCCTTGATCATACTCACTTGCCTGTAACTTTCCAGTGATCCTGAAGACGTTGAATAGCTTGTTCAGGTGTGTTTGATTAGGGTTGGAGCTAAACTGCAGGAAAGTGGACCTCAAGAGCCAGAGTTGAGAACCCCAGGTTTAAAGTTTGATGTTTATTGTTTCCAGCATGTTACTAGCACATTTTAGCATGTTCTAATATGTTTTAGCATGTTGCTAACATGTAATATGATTACTTTGTCATGGGAATTTTGCCTCTGTACTGCTTTGTCTCATATATTCTTACAGAATAACCCTAATTTAACTGTGGTATTTGTAGTAAGACTGCAGTAACTAAAGGTATGCATTATACCATATTAACTTTATAAGTGTGAGACCCAAAGTGCTAAAACTTGCTAGGATCATGCTAGGAGTGTGTTAAAACACTAGTATTATGCTGTCACTCACTAGAAACATGTTTGCAACATGATAAATCATGCTAGCATTGTGTTAAAGCATGTTAGAATCATGCCAGTAAAATGTGAAATAATGTAAAAATGTGCCGTGCTAGCTACATGCTAAACAATGCTAGCAAGTTATTCAGTTCCTTCTCATCAAAACAGATTGTTTTTCTCTCTAATAATATTGGTACCTCATTCTCACCTCATTCCCTGTTTGATGAAAGAAATACAATGCAACAAACTTGTCTGAAAACATTTTATTTTACAGTGTCTATTACACAAATGATAATAGGCCATATTGGTTATTATAACCATTATTAGGCTATTACATGGCTCTGTGGAATACTTGATTCTGATTGGTCAATCGCGCCATCCAGTGGTATGTTATTCCCAGATAACAACCGCCAAATTGAATAACACACCGCTCATCCGGATACTACGAGTTATCTTGACCAGTACTACTTATATGCTTAATGAGTCACTCCACTATCGTTGACTGCCTCGCGCCATCTTGTGACTGAAAACACTTAACCACCGTGTGTTACAATGGAATACTTCAGCATTCATTTCAACATATATGGTAAAAACAAATCTTTTTAGCCGTGTAATAAGTGGTATAATGTACATCCAGCCGGTTGTTATCTCAGAATAAACCCCTTCAGGCCGATACAAGACCCCTCCGCTTCGCATCGGGGTCCTGATCGCCCTGTCAGGGTTTATTATGAGATAACAACTGGCTGGATGTACATGATCCCTTACATAAATCAATCTGATTAAATATTTCAGCTCTAATAATATTTAATGAACTTGTTTTTAATAACATAAGTTCAGCTGTAGTATATTGATTTATTGATTAAAGCTGTTTGACAATATTGTTTGCACAGTATACTGTATGCATCCTCTATTTTTATATCTCACACAGTTTCACAACTGAGTCATCATAAATCGCAAACCCCGCATAGAGAGGCTGAGTGAATGTGGTGTGGACTCTGTGAATGAGGGTCATTGTGTCAGAGACGCTGTAGAAGGACAGAGTTCCTGCACTGTGATCCACATACACTCCTATTCTAGAGGAGCTGGAGACTACAGGGAATTCAGTCCCTTCGTTATTATGCCAGAATGAGCAACGAGAGTCAGAGCAGAACAAACTCCAGGACTGATCATCACGTCCAAACTCACATGGGTCACAACTGTCATCATTATAATCACCCCTTTCCTTCCTGCTGATGCTCTTAAATGACACTGATATGTCCACCTCACCACTCCACTCAACCTCCCAGTAACAGCGTCCATACACACTCTCTCTACACAACACCTGCTCCACAGTGTCAAATCTGTCTGGATGATCAGGATACCTCTGTTTTTCAGAAGTGTATTTTATCACTCTGTTCCCCTTAGACAGACGGAGGTTTTTATGTACCGTGTTTGAATCCACTCTGAACTGGAAAAAATCTGATGGAGACAAAACACAATCTACATCTAAATAAGAAATCTCATTTTAAAATATTAACATAAATCAATTGTGTTAAAACAATAAAAATGAAACAAGGTGCTGTGAACATTGTTAGGTGTTTTGCAAACTGTTTCTAGACACTAGCCACATGCTTCTCTAAACTTCTGCCTCAAAAGTCACGCCCAAATTTAGTCTGAAGTGTTTGAACAATCAGCTCACAGTCACTTGTGGGGACATTTTATGTATAGTATTCAAAAGGACAATCACTTATAGCACCAAAATTGAATGGAAAACCGTTTGACTGACTATTGATATCAGATGATGAGATTTTCATTGTGACAAATCTTGAAGATCAATATGTGAAGAAGTGTGTTTTGTGAGTGTGTGCTTGCTTGTTTAGGAACTTACACTGTAGAAACTCGTTCCTTCTCTTGTATTCAGGGGTGGGAATGATCTCAATATATTTTGCTATGGAAATCAACAGACACGTTGTTTAATACATACATTTTAATCAATTTTGTATTTCGACAGTAGATGATGCATTGTCTCAGACTGCGGAGCTCGAACCATCAACAGTCGGCATGGGAGGCAGGGGTGGTAACAAAAAGGACACTAAAGATCACGGCCTCTAGCGTCAGTTGCTAGTGCTAGTGTCTTGAGGCCAGGAGAGTGAGGTTTACTGCACAGCCTACCAGTGGCCTCCGTTACATAAACACATTTCTTCTGTGTCGTCTGAAAACTGTTCACAGAGACTACTGTGCCATTAATTGAATATGTGTCTACTTTTGTGCTCACCTGTCTATAATTGTGGTCATGATTATATTTTATGCTAAACACTTGTGTTCAAACTAAGTAAGACTTTATTCCAGACTTTATTCCAGCCTGCTGTATGAGACTGTGTGATGCATCACTTATTTCTGAGAGTAAATGAATGATCAGTGCTTTACCTTTATCATGAATCTTTTCTATCTCCTCTCTGCAGAAATGTTCCAGTTTCTCTCTCAGATGTGTGACAGATTCACCAACATCATCAAAAGAGAGACGAGAACAGACAGTTATGTTGGGCGAGTCTGTAGATCCAGGAGGAACAGAGAGAGACTGGAAACTCTATACAGACACAATGACACAATAGAAACACCAGCTAAAGACAGAAACATTTGATAGAAAACACAATCTCTGTACAACATGCTCTTCCCTTCCTGAAGACCACTGTCCTGTTTGTCAGATCTGTTACCTGGAGGAAATGGATGTGATTGTCTGTGTGTGAAAGTTGCTCCAGCTCAGCATCTCTCCTCCTCAGATCTTCAATCTCCTGCTCCAGTTGCTCCAGTTGTCCTTCAGCTCGACTCATTGAAGCCTTTTCCTGATCTCTGATCAGCTGTGTCACCTCAGAGCGGCTTCTCTCAATGGAGCGGATCAGCTCAGTAAAGATCCTCTCACTGTCCTCCACTGCTGCCTGTGCAGAGCGCTGTTAGGACACACAGAGAGAAGCATTAGAATCAGTCCATTCACTCAGCTCTTACTGCTACCTCACACAGCCTGTTCCCCACAGTGGGCTTCAGTGGGACTGAAAGAGCTCCAGCACTGGCTCCTCACTGACTGACTGGAGGAGAGTCCACACTGAGTCTGAAACAGCTCTTCAGCAGCCAGCAGCTCTTCTTCTGCTCAGAACACACCTTGTGAGACTCTACAGCCTCTCTCAGCTCCTCAAGCTCCTTCTGTCTTTCCTGGATTCTCTCCTGATATTTTCTCTGCATTTCACCCAATTGTCTCTGCAGGAAAAACAAATAACCATAAATCTGATAGATGTTACTGCATGCAACAAACAATTAAAGCCTCATGAGATTGTAGTGAGAACTATTTTAAAAATGATCTTTTTACTATGTAGAGATAGGCTATTATGAAGTCATTATGTAGCATACATTCTGAGTTCATACCTGTTTCTCAGTCCTCTCTGCTGCAGCTGATACGGTTTCATGGGTTTTGTGTTCATCCAACATGCAAAGATAACAAATACACTGCTGATCAGTACGACAGAAAATCTCCAGCAGTTTATCATGTTGAGGGCAGATCATCTCCTGCAGTTGTCCATTGGCATCAGTCAACTTGTGTCGCTTTCCAGAGTGAAATTCTTCATGACGTTCAAGATGATTTTTACAGTACGATTCCAGACACACCAGACAGGATTTGATGGCTTTGTTTTTGTCCCCAGTACAGAGGTCACACTCCACATTTCCAGATCCAGGGAAACATTGAGCAGGATGAGCAGCTTGGAGTTTTGTCTTCTTGATTTTCTCCACCACTTCAGCCAGTATGGTGTTTTTACCTAAAACAGGTCTTGGAGTGAAGGTCTGTCTGCACTGAGGGCAGCTGTAGACTCCCTTCTGATCATCCTGATCCCAGCAGCCTGTAATACAGCTCATACAGTAACTGTGTCCACAGGGAACTGTCACTGGATCCTTCAGTAGATCCAGACAGATTGAACAGCTGAACTGATCCTGAGCCAAAGAAACACTGGATTCTGCCATTTTACTGTAAGCACTCACAGGTGGAGAGACATTCACAACAGTTCGACAGCAGTCTAGTTTCGATTTCGCTGAACTGAAACATTTCCTGGTTCTGAAACGCCTGCAAATGTGCCAGTCATATAATGAACACGACCACTAGAGAGCAGTCTTGTACAGAAACTCACTACAACAGATGATAGATAGATTAATTCATTAATGCATTTAGCAGACGCTTTAATCCAAAGCGATTTACAGTGCATTGAGGCTATACATTTTTTACCAGTATGTGAGTTCTCTGCGAATTGAACCCACGACCTTTTGCACTGCTAAGGCAATGCTCTACCACTGAGCCACGTGAACACTAGAGAGATAGATATTTGTCAAACACCCATCGATTTATTTTAAAATTTTAATTTAGTTTACTTTCGTTGATTTTTGCACGCAGTGAATCAACAGAAATCATCTTTAGGTTATGCCGCGCGCCCTGGCCACGGGCAGAGATGGTCCTCACTGCAGAACACAAGATCCAGGGGGCGTGGTTGGATCCAGATCCAACCCCTCCCATCTTACATATAAGGTGCGTTCGACTTGAAGCACGGCTACAGACGGCGATCAACGAGAGTAGCCGCTTGCAGTAAGGGGCGGAGTTGAAAACGGAGCCGTCAAGTCGGACACTTTCTGCTCCCGTTCCCGTTCTGCTCCCGAGCGTTAGTGACGCTCACGCGGTGTTTGCATACTATCACAGATGAAGTGAATAAAATACAATATTTGTCAAATACACAGACATTTCAGAAACGTTTTCATGAGCAACAGAAACACTTTTTTATACTGCTTAACACAGCACCATCTGTTCAAGAATAAAGTTCAACGTAAATATATACTATTTAAAAATGAATAAAGTGGGGTTATATATGCTTTCATGATAAACGTGACTCAATATCACATTGCGACTACAGTAAACAGATTTAAGAGCAGTATTGGATTTGAAGATGTTAGAAACACACGTCATTGTTAGCATGTGGTGAATTTGGCCAATCCTGAAACAGCTGTGTCATCATTAGCACTCCTGCAGTCACTTTGAAAAAGCTGCACCAGCTGAGTCAGCCGGCTGCTCTCGAAAGGATAGCGCGGTACTTTGAAGCCACACGTGACAGTGACGTGGCGTCGGCGTCCTTCAAGTCGGACTAAATTTCTAACCAGCATGCACTGCTTCAAGTCAGCCGCCGATCGGTCTGCGCAGTGCTGCATGAAGTCGAATGCACCAATGCCGAACCCCAACCCCCCCGCCCCCCACCCCGATCCCTAAACCCACCCATCTCCACCCCTAAACCCATTCATCTCCACCCATAAACCCACCCATCTCATCCCCTTAACCCACTCATCTCCACCCCTAAACCTACCAATCTCCACCCCTAAACCCACCAATCTCCACCCCCAAACCCACCAATCTCCACCCCTAAACCCACCCATCTCCACCCCTAAACCTACCAATCTCCACCCCTAAACCCATTCATCTCCACCCATAAACCCACCAATCTCCAACCCTAAACCCACCAATATCCACCCCTAAACCTACCAATCTCCACCCCTAAACCCATTCATCTCCACCCATAAACCCACCAATCTCCACCCCTAAACCCACCCATCTCCACCCCTAAACCCACCCATCTCCACCCCTAAACCCACCCATATCCACCCCTAAACCTACCAATCTCCACCCCTAAACCCACCCATTTCCACCCCTAAACCCACCCATCTCCACCCCTAAACCTACCAATCTCCACCCCCTAGATGTGGATCCAACCACGCCCCCTGGATCTTGTGTTCTGCAGCGAGGGGCTACTGGACGGGAACAGCAGGAGGAGCGCGCGAGCGAGGCCACGGATCTCCAGAAGTTTTGCCGTTCAAACCGCGCGGGGGGCGGAGTCAACAGACAGCGAGCCGACTCAGCGGAGTCACTGCAAACTTGGCAGGTGACGAAGCCCTCGCTGTTTACCGAGGCGCGTGTCACACCGGCATACAAAGTGACCTCGCGCCGCGTCTTTATATCCCGTCACTCACACTGCGGATTTGCGCGCCCCGGTGTCACTGACCTCGGGGAAGATTAAGCTTTTTCCTGCTTTCGTGGTTGGCAGCGGAACATATGATAGTTTCCAACATATGTATGGTCTGACACAAAGACGTGTCTTTGCGCGAGAGAGAAACAAACTGGCTTCAGTGGTCTAGAGATCAGTGATATGCAGTGAGAGGCAGCATGACACTTTTCACTCTGTTGTGTCACACTTATGGTTCGGCTTGTTGACTTCTATGAAGACCTCAGAGATTCATAATTATAAGGACAATGGATAACTTTTTCACCGAGGTAAGTTGGATATGAAAATACTATTTTCATGTTGGTATAACAAGGATGTCCTGTTTTTTTCTGTTCTAGAGAACTAATATATGAACGATACAATACCAAACTCGCTGTATATTTCTATATTCTTTCATATTTCTCAGTATCTGTATATTTATGCGCTTAAGTTGCTTCATGTTATTGTAGTTTGTTTAATGTTCAGGACTCTGTGTGTGTGTGCTGAGTGTTAAAGTGTGTGTGCACGCGCTCGCGACTCCCTCACATCTCTCTCATTGGCCCGGTTCTGAACGGTTTGGGTCGTTCCCAGCGGAGCTCACAGGCATTTCCTTACCTTTCTTCTCGTTTCCTCCTCTGCATCCTGTAGCTATTATTAGAAATGTACACTGTACACTCGTTGAATTAATAAGTGGTGTTTCATTAGTGACAAATTATAGTTATTTTTTATGTAATTGCATTAAAAACTGTATAGACTGTAGAGCAATTCTGTATAAAACAATAATGGATTTAACATCAAAATGTATCATCTAGTGTTAAAATTAATGTTTTTAATGTCAACTTTTTCCTTTAAATACATTGGTCAGTTTTCAAATAATTTAGCAGTTTTATATTATTTATTTTATAAGAAAAAAACAGCAGTTTTATGTCTATTCTTGTGTTGTTCAACTGGTTTGATGGTAATATGGAATTTAGAAATGCATTGCTTTTTAGAGAGTAATTAGTATAGTAATCTAATTAGTTGCTGAAGATATAATTAGTAGCTAGTAATTCGTTTTTGAGTAACTTACCCAACACTGATAATAATATACATTTAAATTTACAATAGTAATATAAATTACATGAAGAAATAAATAGAAATTATTAAAAAAATTATAAAATTTTAAGCTTTTAAATGGTCATTTTAAAAATAAAATAATAGTTAGTAAAAGTTTTATTATCTGTAACATTCAATAAAACAATAATATTACTTTGTTATATTAAATATGTGCATTACATTTTTTTAATAGAAATGTATTATATGAAAATATAACAAGGCGAATCCATTAAAGTATTGCCAAAAGGTAATTTTGTGTAATGCTCGTCAGGACTGATGTTGATGGAAATGAGACAATAGTATTATTCATCCCTTGTGACTTGACTGTGTAATAAGTGCGAGATGATGATCGGTAGCACAAGCCGCTCCCTTGAGCCAGCGCCACATGAGTCACAAGTGAAGGTTTCTAATGTTGGCTTGAGGTGGATCATTAGTCCTATGAATTGCACTTTTCACCTGTGAAGGCGTAACCCTTATGAAATAACTCATCTCAATAAAACATATTCACTTGTACCGGCTCTGAAATATGGATTTTATATTAGAGTTTTAGATGGTTAGAGAGGGAAGCACAAAAGCAGTGGGCACCAACTTCACACAATAGTGTCAAATATCTGCCTGCTGCTGCATATCTAGTCTGCGAATCGGTTCTGGACAAAAGGAGCAGTCTTTAAAAAGAGACAGAGCTGTGTGTGCGGAAACAGATTAAGCCGAAACATGCATGCAGAATGTGGGGAAGAGCTGAGCTCGTGAATACCTGTCTCACACGCGACTCTTCTACATGACTGACCTCAGAGGGAGAGTCCACATACAAATCTGCCATTTTCTCCAGCTTTTTGTGTTTTTGGTTTAGAATGAATGCACATGCACACATTTCTGTTTGCAGTTATGGTCGTAGGCCTGCATGTCCGTTTTGTTTTAGGTATGTTTGTGTATGGTCGTGTTTGCACAGCAGCGTCGCTGAGGTTATTAGCTATAGGCGGAGCTTATTCAAAGGTAAAGCTCTTTATTTTCCTGTGAACTGGCCAATCAGAGTCTCAGGTACTGTTTGACCGTTGTGTTTTAGTGCAGAGGAGTGTGACTCTGGGAAAATAAACAATCCAGGTTATTCTTTTTTTAGTGAAACAAAAGTCCTATAGAGGATCAGAGCTGCTTTGGGTGCAATTGTGAGGTCTCCTGCACTAAGAATTAGATTATAATAACTCTGTCATTTTTTTTCTGGTAAAATGTTGTTAATATTTAAGCAGACAAACAAAGGTTTTGGTTAATTAAAGTGCTTAAATCAAACTGAACACCATAACAGAACACACAAAGGGGTGGAGCACCTGGAGTACAACAGCTATGAGACTCTATACACATATTTACCTTATTTAAATGAGGATGTTAAATGAGGATATATATATATATATATATATATATATATATTTTGATTTCGATGGTTTCATGCTTTCTGCAGTGCGCAGCCAATAATTTACCACACAAAACACGTTTTAGTCAGCACAAAACCACATTTATCCTTGCCGCATGTGAACCTGTATTTAATGTAATCTGGGTTATATATGTATATATATATATATATATATATATATATATATATATATATATATATATATATATACATACTGCATAGTTATATGTATTTTATAATAAAACTTTCTAAAAAAATCTTTTTATTCTTTGAGGATGTTCACTGACATCGACAAAGGGAGGTTTCGTCATATTTAACTAACTTCTGGGGAGAATGTTGTCCTCAAAGTGTGGAAAAGTAAACCTCACACACACACGGTCATGTACCCCCTCGGGTTTCTTTATCTGCTTGGTGTCAGGTAATCCTTCTTGACACACACACACACACACACACACACACACACACACACACGTTAAATCTTGTTGTGAGTAGCTTAATGATTACA